TGTACGGCTCCTGGAAGCAGCAGCATGTCCTGCCTCCGGCTCCTACGCATAGGGGCAGCCAGGGGGCTCTGCACGCTGCTGCCGCCCCAACCACTACCCCCACAACTCCCACTGGCCGGGAACCGCGGCCAATGGGAGCTGCAGGGGTAGTGCCTTCGGACGGGACAGCGCGCAGAGCCGCCTGGTCAGCGCCGCCCGGAGCCTGCACCCCTGACCTCCTCCTGTGCCCCAACCCCCTGCCCCAGCCCTGATCCCCCTCCTGCCCTCCGAACCCCTCGGTCCCAGCCTGGTGCACCCCAAACCCCTCATCCCCAGCCCCGACCCCCTTCCCCAGCCCGGAACCCCCTGCCACACCCTGAACCCATCATTTCTGGTGCCCTTGCCCCCTTCCGCACCCCAATCCTCAATTTCATGAGCATTCATGGCCCGCCATACAATTTCCATACCCAGATGTGGCCCTCGGGCCAAAAGGTTTGGCCATCCCTGCTTTAACAGGTGTAGCACAGAACTTGCAGCCCAGAGGGTGAGGGGCTTATGGTGGCTTAAAGCCACTCTTGGGCCTTCCTGCCCCTGGGCAGTTCTGGGAGTTGCAGAGGCCCCTGGCATAATTTAGACAGCTCTAGGGGACTGGCTATGTTACAGCAGCATCCCCTGCGTGCCCTTTGAGCTAAAGCACTGCCTGAAATCTCTGTTGTACTGGTACTGCAACCCCCTCCCCAGCATAGTCCACACACACCAGGGCTTGTGAGGGGGTCCTGGGAGGGCAGCTTTTCTCCCACAGTGTCTGCATTGGGGAACTCTGTCCCCAGCTGCATATAGGGATTTTAAGGACCCTTTAGGCTGCTTTGGCCCTTTACTCAGCTCAGAGGGGCTGAAGCAGAGGTGAGGAGCTCAACCATACAAATTATACAGGTAGAGGTGTTGTAGCTGACACAGCGTATAGAGTATGGCGATGAATAGGATTGACTAGCTCTATTAGGGGATCTGCACTTGCACTATGTATTATTCATGAACTTGTTTGAAGATCCTGGGATTTATTCCTAAAATGAAATGTTTTTGTCTTGTGAGTAGAACATTTATTGAACTTTTTGACCCATTGAGTATAGTTTTTATATGTGACTTTATGGCAACTCCATTGGGGGTGTTTGCCATTGTCTTTCCTAATCAGTAGCCTCTCTTTATACTCTAACATGAGTGCGTTGTAAAATATTGAAATAAATACAAATGTGTAAAACAATGATTATTCTAATTGACCAATAGCATTTTCATAGAGAGAATCAAACCTCTCAGACCTTTTCATTTGTTTGGGTAAGGAATCTAACTCTAAATCCAGATTCGTGTTTTGCAGCTGAGGCCCTCACTTATTTATGCACTGAGATCAGGTCTGCTTACCATGTGAACTTGTAAAAGGTGGGATGAACAAATGAGATGCAGTTTTCCTTTAAGGCCTATATTTGGCAGAACTTTCAGGCACAAGTCACATGTGCAAGCTCTGATGAGGCTATCTGGCCAAAGAGCCTGTCAGACACTGGTGAACGCTGTCTGTTATTCTACATCCTTGGAAAGCTGTTCAGTACATTTCCAAGGTAAGCTAGGCAGAAAGTCTGAGAAAAGAGCACTTAATTTTCAACAATGTCTGAGCCTTTCAGGGATCCTCACAGGATCCTTCTTTTCCACATGCTGTCCCCCACAGTATTTTCTTTCCCCTACCCTTGTCAGCCTGCCTAGCCCTTTAGCTGAGGACTAAACTCAGTTCTCTACAAGGTCCATCAAAACTGCTCCTGAGTTGGCCAGAGGGATCAGCACTAAGTGACACACAGCATTGCCCCCATCCTGGGGGTTCTGTCTGCTGCTTCTGCAGCCAAATTGAGACTGAGCTAGAGCCGTGAGCTGCGCTCTTCCCCCGCAAGTTAATACTGGATTGCTGCACCAGTCCCCATCCATGGTTCAGTTCTGCTTCTACTGAAAGTCAGTGCCAGAATTTTCAGTGGGAGCAGGATGGGGGCCTTTGTCCTTGCCACATACTGTAGTAATCTCTAAATCTGATTTAGCAAAAAAAATTAGCCTGTCTCCCATGCTGCTCAGGGCTACAGAATTACACACACACACACACACAAATTGGCATACTATGTGTCTGCATGGTGTGAAAAATTATTGGATGTTTTGCTGAATTAAGAAATTGAAATACACTGAAAGTTTCTCCCAAGTGAAATTCCTTTACTGGTATTTATTGGATGTTTTTGAACTTGAGAAGTGAGAGGGCTGTGGAATTTTTTAGAGCTGGGATATCAAAGGAAAACATTTCTCTCCTATGCTGGAGTTAAACTCTAATCACTGCTCAGCTCTCTTGGAATTTGGCAGCATACCAGTGCTCCTTCCCTTCAGTAGGTCATGTGGAAATACTAGCATGTTTTCTTAAAGAAGCTCTCAGCTCTTTTCAAGTACTTACACGGATGCTACTTTCCTGTTTGAATTGGGTTTTAACTGCTTCAGAAATCAAACTGCATTTTCCATGAAATAAGCACTATTCACATCTACAGCATTTTATATGTAATTATGAAAATATTTCCAAAGCATTAACCCCAAAAAATACAACTTTTAAAATTAGTTCTTAGGTTGACATTTGTATTTAATTACAATTGAATCAACTATTTTAACTTTGAGAATGTTTAAAAATGTAATCAATATAATTATTGTGATGTTCAATATATTTAATATTTGCTTCATTTTTATATACGTTTCTATTAATCTGAAGTTGTCCACATGTTTACCAAAGGCTGTAAATCTTATATATGAACAGCTGGTACATTTTGATCAGTTATAAGGCTAAGTGACATATGGTTATGGATTCTCTTCCCTCTGCTCTTTGTGCCTGGATTATTGATTGGCTTTAAGCTATAGCCATAGTACTGGAGATACTTTCTGATAGGTAACAGTTAATTCTGTCCAAGGCTGGATTATCTATTCTGTGCTAATGTGAATCTTTGACCAGACTCGGTGCCTGATCTCAGCATTCTCTCCTTTATAACTTTTATTCTCCTAGAATGATAACTGCCCTTCAGTTTTTCAGCCTTATCCATTGGTTGTAGATCCGTTCATCAAATTCTGTCCCTCTTTCCCCTCTCCCGCATTATTTGTTTCCTACTAAGGTATTGCTAAATTCCAGCTGGATGTGAAATCACCCTGGAAAGATGCAGTGGTCTTGTTATTTATTTAGTATTTGTATTGTGGTAGTGCTTAGACGCCCCAGTCATAGATTAGAGTCTCATTGCACTAGCTCCTTTATGTACGTAACACACACACTGAAATCAGACTCTGCCCCAAAGAGCTCACAATCTTATTTTAAAAAGTTATCTTAAAGTAACATAATCTGTTTTGGATGAATGTAATAAACTTTACCCTGGACCAATATATGAAATGTATTTTATACATTTAATATGTATGTATTTTTCTTCGAACACTATATAGCAAAATCTATAAAGGCGCTGCTTCTGTGTCAGGCAAGGATTCCTTTATTAAATGTCGGCAAAAACCACAAAAGCCTCTGCCAAGTTGGTCCAGGGAAGCTGGCTCACCCGCCTTTCCATAAGAATGCCAAGGAATCCCCCAGTATGGCTCAGTATTGACTCCATGCCCTTTATGGGGTAGGCAACCTATGTCACGCATGCCGAAGGCGGCACACGAGCTGATTTTCAGTGGCACTCACACTGCCAGGGTCCTGGCCACCAGTCTGGGGGGCTCTGCATTTTAATTTAATATGAAGCTTCTTAAACATTTTAAAAACCTTATTTACTTTACATACAACAATAGTTTAGTAATATATTAAAGACTTATAGAAACAGACCTTCTAAAAACGTTAAAATGTATTACTGGCACGCGAAACCTTAAATTAGAGTGAATAAATGAAGACTCGGCACACCCCTTCTGAAAGGTTGCCGACCCCTATGGCAATCCAGGAAGCACACTGTACTGTACTGATCATGGTGCCGAGCAGGATTTTGCTGTGCATGCTGGTGCCCCGTCTGTTAAGCCACGGTTAGAAGGACACTGTCAACATAGCTTGTTAGGAAACATTCCTTACCATTGTTAGAAATAACCAGACATTACCAGAATGGAAAGAATATTAACCATGCTTTCTTCTCCCCATGTTTGCTCACTTTTGATAATAAATAATACTGGGCACTTCAGTGCTTTCATCCACAGTTCTCAAAATGCTCTATAAATATGAAGTTTTCCTCATCTCCCTGCTCCCCATTTCACAGAGCGATAGTATGGAGGAGTTAAGTGACTGGTCCAAGGCCACACAGGAATGCTGTGGCCTCCCACTTGTGTTTCACTCACATTCCCCCACAGCAGCAGGTGGCGGGTTCTCCTGCAGCATGCTATTATGCTCTGACTGAAATGACGAGGGATAATTCAAAATAATGTTAACTGATTTTGTAAATGTTTACAATTTTAACTTTAAACCATTCTGTTCATGGCAATTTTGTAAGAAGTCCACTCCACCCACTCCTTAACAAATTAGAAATGTGGCCTTGACAATGTCGATTGGGCTGTGAGAGCCCCAGTGCTTCAGGAGCAGCTGTGGAACCTATTTATGTTCAACAGAATCCAGAACGAAGCTACCATGCAGCAGCAACCACTTTGCTCTGATGTTTACCGCAAGCAAAGGAGCTTTGTGAGATATACTTGGATTTCCCTGGATTGAAATTAGAGCTGGAAAAGACCTATTAGTCCACCATGTCCAGCCCCTGCCAGTGCAGGATTTGAATTAGTACATTGCCATGCTTGGCATGTATGTCCCAAGCAATGGGGATCCCACTATTGATAGGTCCATCCATGGGTATTAGCCAGGATGGGCAGGAATGGTGTCCCTAGCCTCTGTTTGTCAGAAGCTTGGAATGAGCAACAGGGGATGGATCACTTGATGATTACCTGTTCTATTCATTCCCTCTGGGGAACCTGGCACTGGCCACTGTCGGAAGAAAGGATACTGGGCTAGATGGATCTTTGGTCTGACCCAGTAGGGCCATTCTTATGTTATTTCCCTTGTGGGACAATTCTATGATCTAACAGTCTTGTAGGACAGCTCTGCATTTATCTCTGTGGTCCTGTTGCCCCCCCCCCCCCCCCCCGCATTTATCCAGCATCTGGGAGGAGGTAAAAAAGCTGTTTTTCAAGCCACTTCCAGCACCACAGCAAAGTGCAGAGGAGCATTATGGCAACCCCCACTGGCCTGTCAGCATTAGTCTCTTCTTCCTCGCATTGCTAGCCCTGCAGTGAAGGAGAGTAAGGTGTGAGGAGTAAGACAGAGAAATACCCCTTGCCTTGGAGGGTCCCCAGCCTCTTTCCGTCTCTCTTCTTCTATCACTGTAGTCCTGCCTCTTGGGGCCTTGTAAGGAGTGACAAAAGGGGAGAAGAAAATTCCAGGAAAGTAGTAGAGGGGATGGTGGAGAGAATCCCATGGGAGTGAGGGAAAGAGAGGATGGAGGGGAGGGGAGAATCCCAGGGTGGAGAGTGGAGGGAAAATCCTGGGGGACAAGGAGAGGAACAAAGGTGGCAAAGAAGGAAATCCTAAGTGTGGAAATCCAAGGGGGTCAAGGGAAGAAGACAGTTGACAGATGGTGGTGGGGAGGGAGAGTCCTACAGAAGGTGAAATCCTGAAGGACTAATAAATATAAGAGAATACACTGTATAGAAATGTGAATGAGAAAAAATGGTGAGAAGGCAGAGAATGAGTGAGAGATGGGAAGGGAGAGGAAAGGAAGGGGCCAAAAAGCTAGAAAGAGGCAACTTCTAGGATAATTTTTTTTTAAGTTCTGTATTTGTTTATTGTTCCTTTGCAGACATTGGGGAAAATAGACTATTTCGAGTAATAGTATTAATATTGCTAGTTGTCTACTCTGGTTACTGTAGTATATTAGTGCCGTTTCTTTAGTTTCTACCTGCTTTCTTATTATTAATTATGGCTATTTTGTTGTCTTATTTCCTGCCCATGTTCATATTTCTGTAGTGGACTCTGAGTGAGTTGTTGTAGGATCATTCCCTCTCTCCTCACTACATACTTTCTTGTCCCTTCTTCTGCATGGGATGGATACCTAAATGAAAGTTTGCCTGCTTTCTAGAAATCAAGCCTTCTATGGATCACATATCCTGTGTACACACATTATCTCCTTTCACGAAAAAAACCCCAACTTTGCTATACAAAGTGAATGTGGGGAATTAGAAGGGGGATTGCCCAGCCTTCTCTGGCTACTGCTAAAACATCACTCACTGCCAATGAAGACACAAATCTCTGGATGATAAAGATATGTCAGAAGAGCAAATATTTGCTTTTGGAAGACACCTGATGGTATCAATTACAAATATATATTTTGCATAGGAGAGATTGACCATGTAAGGGTTTTAGCCCTCCACATTTGAATTCTCAGTTCAGTCACTGCGACAGTACTATCAGTGTGTACACACTCTCTGAATATATAAGATTTTAGAAAATGTCTGCAGCTGCATTTATATACATTTATTTGGCAGATTATGTTGCACATCTCTCCTTGGTTATGATGACAGCATTGTTGTGTAAATTATAGAAAAAATTGAATGTGTCTCCGAGTGTTCTCTCTCCTTGGTCCGTACATACACAGTGATTTTTGTGGCTGTGGAATCTACCCCTTGCCTTTGCACTGGGTTTCCCAATTTAAAATTTTACTTAAAAATATTTCTAGCCCTCATAGAAGATATTGCTGAAAGTGTTCAGAGTACAAACTAATGTAGTGGTGTCTTCTTGAGTTTACGAACATTCTGTAACTGTAGTTCTAAGAGGCTTAAACTGCCCTATATATCTCAATGGATCAACTTCGAAACCTAAAGAAAATTTTGAAAATGTTCAACCTTGTTAAATATCACTGCTGATCAGCAGTAAAATATCCAACAAATCTGTTTATCCCACACAACTTAATTGCCTCTGATCCCTCCCGGGGTGCCAAAAGTCTCCTCCCAAATGGTTGTAATAGCCAACTGAGATTTATTTGCACCGTTATGTGTTACCAAACAAAAGATTATGGCAAAATGAAAACTGAAAGTGTGGAGGGGACAGCACAAAATAAGCTGAATTTAGTAGCAAAATAACACATTAGGCCACTATACTGACTTAATATATTTGTATTCATTTTTGGATTTAATACATGTATACTTAAATTGAAGTTTTAAATCTTTATTGAAGATTAAGGGTGAGATTTTTCAAAACTGCCCAAGGAAGTTAAGTACTTGGGCCCAGATCTTTCAGAGGATCTGGACCTCAGTTCCCTCTGATTTTCAGTTTTTCACTTTTTGTGGGACAATCCCACCCTAAATCTTTAATCTTTTTAACTTAAATGGTGTTATTGTAAAACTGCCAGTTTGCTGTGCCAGACTATTGCAGAATTGAAGTTTAGCTTGTCGCAGAGTAGGGGAGGCTGGAAAAAAGAAAAAACACTAAGATGTTTTCCCATTTTTTATCTACATTTTATTCTGATTTGTTTTCTGACTGCCATACCACAGAGTAGATGGCGCCTTGGTTATACTGCCATCTACTACCATAAATAGTTCCTCTTTTTCACCCTTCGTAAATATTTGCAAACTGATCTCATAATCCTCCTCCTTCACTTCTTAGATAAGACAACAACTAAGGTCAAAATGCACAACAATCTGCCAGAACGACATGTGGCGTCAACACCCAAACGTTATGCGCTTCAGCCTTGGTACTCTGTTATTCAACGGCGGAGTACTGCGCACTAGTATGGGCTCACTCATCTCATACAAAGATGATCAACATACAGCTTAATTCCACCATGCGTATCCTTTCAGGCTCACTTAAATCTCCTCTACCTTGGTTACCAGTTCTCTGCAATATTGCTCTGCCCAGTGTTCTCAGAAAGTGTCGCAAAGCTCATGACGAAATTGCGTGATATGCCATATCTTCCATTAATTAAAGACTTGTTTAATCCATCACATGGTCGTCTGCCCTCACATCGCCTGCTGTGGATAAATTTACTGAGTGAGGGATTTATGGTAGAGGATACAAAATGGGTTTCATGGTTTGCAAAGTAAGTGACAAATTATTATCTTGTCTCGGATCCCACTCAACGTCAAGCCGGGTTTGATTTACGCAAAGGCAATGAAGCCTTCTGAACCAGTTTCATACCGGACATGGAATTTGTGCTGCAGCAGAATTTCGGTGGCATTTTAGAGATAGTCTACTATGTCTGTGTGTGCAGCCACAAACCATGACATATTGTTGAGGACTGCAAAATGACAGCTTCCTGGAGGCCTTCGTGCCTTGAACATCGTTGATAAGAACACTGTGGCTTGGCTTGACCAAATTGCATAAGCCAAATAAGAACAACAACACCTCTTAGTAAAATAGGACATGACAATTATTTTAGGCCCCAATCCTGCAATGAACACTGGGTGAGTCCCATTCTCTTCGCACAGCTCTCATTTTAGGATTGGGGTCTTAATTCTCTATAAATGAGTCCTTCCAGCTTCTTAATTCCTGTTACTCTTCTCCATACTCCCATTTATTCAGTAAGAAAGTATCTAGAACTGACCACACAATATTTCAGCTGTGGTCACCCCAGAGCTGTATAAAAAGCTTCTTTCCTTCATGTGACCCCCGCACATACAGTCTGTGACCCATTATTGCTTTGGGGTTTTGTTTTAAATATTAACATCACATCCCTTTATAAAATAGTGTGTGATTTGCAGTCTGCTCTCCTATACAGAGGAAAGCTGGCTTGCTGTGGTGCAAGACAAAGTGGGAATCAGTGAGTGAGCTGAGTTCTTTGCCCAGCTCTGCCAGGTGATTCCTGTGTGACCTTGGCTAAGCCACAAAGTCACTTGCCCATCTCATGTCTTGGTTGCCCCATTTGTGGAAGCGGGATCATCCCACCAGCTATACTCGTAGAGACATTGAGGCCCTTATGTCTGTGAAGTGTTTGGGGGTATTTGGTGGGGAGCAGCACTAATGAAGGGCAAGGGATTGTCTTCACCCCAGGATCATCTTCTGCCTCCCAGGTTTCTCTCCTCCTCAGCCCACCTGTGGCACGAATCGTTCTTCCCCGACGATATCGACGTGGACTGCTCCAAACCACATTTATTTTGCTTCTTTCTACGCGCTGCCCTTAAGTGCCATCCCCAGGCTTGGTGCCTGTACCCAGCCCTTTCTCTGGGGCAGGGGGTCCCTGTGGGAAGGGGGTGGGGGGAGCGGGCTGTTCCCCGGGGCGGTGGCCATACCTGACCCGTTTTCTGGGGAGCGGGCTGTTCCTCACGGTGGTGCCCGCGCTCCCGGCCCTTTCTCTGGACAGGGGATGTTCCCCGCCGCGCAGGTAACTGCTCCCGCTCGGGGCAGGCGCCTCCTGGCCCCGGCGCGCCTCAGGGCGGGCTCTCTCCGCCCTTTCCGCTCAGCGGCAGGGGGAGGAGCAGGCGGCGGTAGCAGCAGCAGCAGCAGCCGCCGCTTCTCCGGCCGGAGCTGCCCCTGCGTAGGACAACAAGGGGAGCCCCGCAGGGCAGCTCGCGCCCGGCCGGCCTAGGGAGCGCCCGGTGGCGAGGGCCTGGGGCGCCCCCACCCGCTACCAGCGCCGGGCACACCCCCTCCCCCTCGGCACTAGCGGGGAGGCGGCTCCGCTCTCCACAACAGCGGCGCCCCGGGAGCTGAACGCCGTCCCCCGGGATCGCGGTGCCAGAGGCGGGGTTCGGGGCGTCCCCTGGCGGGGCTAGAGGAGCGGGGCCGGGCGCCGCACCATGCTGCCCCCGCTCTCCCCGCGCCCGTCCGCCTAAGGGCAGGGAGCCCGCGCCAGCTCCCCGTGCTGCCATGCTGCCGGCGCTCCGCTAGGCGAGCCCGGCTCCAGCAGCGGCTCGGGACCTGACGGGCGGGGATCGTTGCGCCTCACCCCGGGCGGCGGCACCATGAGGAACGGCGAGGAGCTGGAAGGCTTCGATGGCGAAGCGTCCAGCACCTCCATGATCTCCGGGGCCAGCAGCCCCTACCAGCCCACCACCGAGCCCGTCGGCCAGCGCCACGGGCTGGGCGGCCTCCGCTGCGACCTGGACTATCTGCGGGGCGCTCTCGGCAAGATCAAGATCACCGAAGTGGTAGGTACAGCGCCCCGGGCAGGCCCAGGGACGCGGCATCCGTCCGGAGGGCATTGGTATCCGGATCCTTACCTAACGGGGGCATTGTTCCTCCCCGCCCTGCCTAGGCGCCTTTATTCGCTGGGGGGGGGAGGAGGGTGTATGTGTCGGGGGTACAACCAGAGGAGGCAGTTGCTTGTCCCCTTCCCGGCCCCGCGCTTCCCCCAGTCTAGGAGGCTCACAGGTGGAGGGGGAGGACGAGCTCTGCTGCACTTCATTCCTCAGGTGAGAGTTTAACCTCCCTGTCCTTCATCCCGCCCTACTTCCACGCAAGGTTTCTGCTTGCATGGTCCTGCTCATAAGGTATAGCGCTGCCACCTCCTTTAGGTCACGTTAGTCTGGGAAGTTAAAAGAAACCTGTAATAAGTTTTGTTATTTGTTGGGTGTTCTAAATCCCATCGGGGTCGGTAATAAATTCTACCTCCCCTCCACCCCTTTTCTTGGTGTGGATTAGTTTCACTCTTGCTAATGGTTACTTGATGGTCTTATTTTTGAGAGAGACCTGGGATTTTTGATCTTTTGATATATGAGGCAGCAGGTGAGGGGCAAGTTTGTGAGTCCCTTTTCTGCCTCCCATAGATTCATCATCTGGTAACAATTCGCCCATTGTTTCTGGGTAGCTGAATCAAAGGTGTGCGTGAGAGGGTGTTTTTGATGTTTTTTAGATGTATTCACCAACTCCAGACTAGCTTGGATTCGCCTATGTGTACGTGTGCTACTCAGTTGTTAGTGTACTTTTGGTTGTAAAGATGTATAAACTCACAACATACCACTTTGCATGTTAGAGCTCTATAGTGTAGATGTGGGACCCCAAGAACAGTGGTTCAGGTCAAGTGGAAGTGATGACAATGCTGTCATCTTTTGTATATTAGAAAGTCTTACTAAAAATGTGTTTAGGCCACAAACTCCATTTTTAAAGCCGTCTGTTTTCCTAAATGCCATTCAGATCCCATTTTTTCACTTTCCTAAATTGCTTGAGAGTGGATTCAGCACAAACTGTATGTGTACAGATTTGTCACCAGCCAATACATAGCATTTTATATTGTTGCAAATGTTTGTCCAATGTATGAAGGTTAACCTGAACCAGGACCAGTTAACCTGAATTTTTTTAATTTAAGAAGAATATTATTTTTTATTTAAATATGACTGAAGAGAAGTAGGATTTGTACACCTGTACCATCCTGGTATCTTATTTCTTGATTATTGAAGGCGTAACTAGTTGTGCAGCTGACTGTGAGAGTAAAATTTGGGCCTTAGTTATATGGGTTGTACTCCTATTTGACTTAAGGCAGCACTACAACTTGAACTCTAGTCAGCTCAAGAAATGAATTTCAAAAGCTTTAAATCCGACACCTGCACTTTAATCCCACTGCTAAACTGTGTTTTATTTGATTTGCAGGACCAGATGGGGACTAATCAAGGATCAGTCACCCATTGTGCGACACATTGTATAGATATGCAGTAAAAGGACAGGCTCTGCTCAGACTTGACAATCTAGGGCCCCAATCCTACACAGACTGTGTGTGTAAAGTTAGCATATGCGTGAGTAGTTCCCTTGACTTTAGTGGGACTACTTGCAGCATATAAAGTAAAGCATGTGCTTACATCTTTGCAGGATTGGGACCTTAGTTCTGGCAAGATTCAACGGGTAGAGGAAACAAACAAGAGGAGAAGAAAGGCGGGGAGGATAAAGTAACTGTAAATCAAATAAATTTTACCAGTAAGAAGTCCTCATTCTTGTAGGTTAGTTTTTAACTGTTTTTCTGTCCTTGTTTGTTTGTGGAAGACACACACAAGCAGAGGACACTAAAGAAAGGTTGCATCTTGCAAACATAAAGGTGAATAACTTCATTCACAGGAGTAGTTCCAATGGGCACTGCTTGCCTGAATACATGTTACACACTTCTGTGCTTGCAAGTTCAGGCCCAAACTGGCTGAAGTGGTGTCAAATGCACAAAGAAAACAAATTGAAGAAATAGAGAAATAATTTTCTAATTTCCCTTAGATAATGAACTTCATGTATTAACAATTGTGTGTTAAACATTTTTGAACAGAAGTGTGATTAAGATGATAGTGTCTCTTTTGTGATTTTCGAGGTGATTTCCAATTTTTGTGTGTGTGTGTGCGTGCGCGCGTGCCTGGGATGCTAGTGTTTGTCTTTTCCATCTGCTTGACTTCATTAGTGGGATTTATTTTGCCAGTTCTGTTTCTGATAATTGCAAATTTAAATTTAGAGATTTTTTTTCTATCTTCCTGGAGATGCCGCTCAATTAATTCGAAATTGCTTTTACAATTTCTTGTCACTGTGCATCAGGGAAGGGATATGTTTGAAGTATTTTGTCCTTCTTCCTTTCTCTCTTATCTCTGAGAGAAGAAGCACTTTAGTTACTGTTTGTGTAATTTGGAGTCCATACTGGCACATTATTGGCAGGAGGTTCAGAAATTAAAGTTTTTATATTTCATATGCATACTAAATACAGCAGAAAGCTTATATTTTTAGGCTTAATTTAAAATATTCAGGGTATTTTTGCTTCAATATCAGGCAGATGTTAATTTTTCAAATCAGAGGTTTGAATTAAATGATTGTAAAATATGTTGATTCTAGAATACATCTACAAATAGGTTACAAGATCGAATATCTGAATAAAGAAGAACACTTACTTTATTGTCAGTCTCCCTTTTCACCTCTCACCTCCCCCTCAAATACATCATTTTCTGTAGGAGGTGGCCATGAGCATCTGAAGTCCCATACCCTGTACACACTGAAAGGTATGCTTAGCTTTACCACTGAGAGTAGCCCCATTGGAATTAATGGGACTAGTGATGTCTGTGTGTAGGGGGGGGGTTGGGCCTAAGAAACTGTCATCTGTTTGCAACATACACCTGTTTTGAAGTGTTAGCTACAGAAGGGGGTGGGGGTGGGGTGTTTTCTGGGGGTAGAAGTGCTGAGGGGGGGTGTTTTCTAACATGCTGAAATAATCTTGTT